GGGGGGGGGGGGGGGGGGGGGGGGGGGGGGGTTACCGAAGAATGGGATGCAGGGGGGGTTTGCCAGATGTAAAGTTTCACGGTATTCGCCAAAGTTCTTAGTGCTGGCCATGAGACGCCGCATCTGTTCCAAAACGGCAGAGGTACGGCCACTGACCTGGGCCCAGGTTCGACCGAGACGGTGGATCGGGGCGGTTCCTAGAGCCGAGATGATGGAGGTAAGGGTAGAGTAGTTGTTGAGGGAGCGACATTTGTCGGCCACGTTCACAAAGTGTTTGATGACCACCACGCGCTTCTTGAGATCCGACTGAGTGAGGATCATCTCAGCGACCCAGTTGGTCAACTGATTGGAATGGAGGATGAGGGCCTTGACGTTGGCGGCCGGTTCCGGCTCGTCCGGCCCAACCTTCCTCTGCCAGGTCTTGTTCAGACACTCGGTGGGACGGATCTTGGAGTAGAGCCGCGATTCGATGATGGTGAGCTGGCGGGCAAACTCCGTCGGGTCGATGTCCAGGAACTTCAACTTCTTCATGTTCTTGGGGGTGATCGGGGGCGGGGCGGCGGTGGCCTGGGTGGGGACCAGCCGTTTGGCCGTGGTGTCCTGGCATCGCAGGCGCTGTTCGACGACCGCGAGGAGCTGCGGGGAGCCGGGGGTCTTGGTGGTGGCGATGGAGTCCTTGGTGAAGGCATGCACGCGGCCCAGCAGCTCCATGTTCGCTTCATCGTTGGGCTCCATCCAGAAGTGCTCGAACCAGCTCTTCAGGATATTGACCACACGGAACCGGATCGGCTTCTGCTTGCGGTCGATCCACATCTGCATCTCGTCCTTGTTCAGCCCAAAGGGCGGCTGGACGTTGAACCGCTGCACCAGCATCTCAAACAGTTCCGGGGCGGAGGTGAAGGAACGATAGGTGAGCAGGAAGGTGTTGTTGAAGGAGGCATCCAGCTTGTCGTGACGGGTCAACTGCTCGACCAGTCCGGCCAAGGTGCCGCATTTCAGGGTCGGCACGTCACTCTTGGTGTCGTAGAACACCTCACCCTCGTGGTCCATCTTCAAGAACCACGGGGTCTCCTCCGGCTCCCGGACGGGTTCCCGGATGGGTTCTCGGGTGATGGCTGCGGGCGGTGCCTGGCCAAAGAACCGCTGCGCCTTGTCCATGTTGCGTCGCATCTTGTCCGGGTTGGGCCCCACGGCATAGGACGACGGGATCCCGATCGTCTCGGTCCCAAGGCGATTCTGGGATTGGGATCGGGAATGCATGACCTTTTCGTAGGACTCAATCTCGGCGATGTTGTTGATGTTGCTGTTGCTGCCGCTGCCGCTGCCGCTGCCGCTGCTGCTGCTGTTGTTGTTGTTGTTGTTATCCAGCCGACTCTCACTCCGGAAGACCGACGACTGCTCTGGTACCTGCTCGAGGAGCAAGGAGAGGGAGAAACCGATCTGGGAGACAAAGTTTTCGAGCTGCCTGGCGATACCGCGCACACTCTTCAAGCGGTCCTCAAGGGAATCACCACGAAGCTCGGCCCACTCGTCCCCGAGGGGCGCCGAGACGGCCTGGCAGCTCAAAACAAAGTCTGCGATCCCATCGTACACCCGCTGCTTTTGCAGGCTAAAGTCCACAAGCTGAGGGTTCTGAAAGCTGGTCCCTAGAGGAGCAAGGTTGATCGACTCCACCGCGGCAATCCACGGACGAAACTGATCGACCACCTTGATGGCCGCGGCAGCCACCTTGTCCCCGATCTCGCCATGTTCGGCAATGGTCACGATCTTCTGCCGGAGTGCCAGGCTCTCCTCCAGGCGACGGATGCTGCCGACGAAGGATCGCCGAAGAATGTCGATCTGATCCAAGAGCGCGGAATCCAAGGCTACCGAGGGTTCGGACCGCAGCTCCCTACCACCACCACCACCATCCTGGTCGAGGAAGGAGGTTGGGCCGGACTCGTTCAACAAGATGCCATTGTTCTGCCAGTTCCCGCCCGATGAGCCGCCGACCACGAAGCCTGGAGTGACGCGGCAGATGGTCTCCCCGCGCTGGTGGCGGGCGACATCCACGTAGCCATAAACGCCGTGCATGACCCCATCGGCCTCCTGCAGACATTTGTTGATGGAGTCTGGGCCCGGCCAGTCGGCTGCGGCGATGTGCGACGACAGAACGAGTTTGGAGAACTTGGACATCATGTCCCGGAAGTGCGGGTAGAGGGTCTTGTTGGTGGAGATGATGGAAGGGTTGCCCGAATGGTTGTCTGTGGTGTCGGAGCCGGCGGCGAGGAGCATGCGAAGATGGTCGGAGATGTCCTCCGCCCGTCGCACGTACTCGGAACGGTCGCCGTTCAGCAAGGCCTGACGATAGGCCTCGACCGCATGGCGCATGTTATTCACGAGGATCGGCCAGGTGATGGCCGGGGTGATGTCGTCATCCACAAAATGCTGTGGGACCGCCGCCAGGGCGAGGGAGGAGGAGGAGGCGGCGGGCGACTGGTGCTGCAGATGGTCGGGGACGGATGTCGTGCTGGAGGCCGCCATGTGATGGCTATAGGCGCCCTGGTGGGTGAAAAGAAGGGATTTGGACCCTGGGGCCGGTGGTAGGCCCTTGGCCTCATTGATGGACTTGGTGGTCGCCGAGGGCGGATGCAGGGAATCCATGGAGGTGGCGGGAGAGACGCCGTCGATGAAGGACTGGCGGCGACGGGACATGGAGTCGTGGGAGGCGAGGGTGATGGACTCCCCCTCGGCTTCGGATGCGGAGCCGTCGTATTCATCCTCGTCGCGCTCAAACCCTCGCGCCATCATCTCCGGTGGGGGACGCGTCTGATCCGGTACAAAGAAATTCGTGCGATCCCGCGGGCCCGTCTCGTTCGTCGACGTTGGGTTCTCAAAGGGTAGTTCCATGGTACTGTACCCGGTCAGGGTGTTGAAGTAGAAGAGGCGACCGTCCGGTGTCGCCTGGGGGATCCAAAACGCAGCCTCTTCCTGTTCCTTTCCAGTATTCATGCCGACGCCGCTACCGCTACCGCGGCCGCTGCCACTGCCACTGCTCCCACGACTGACGGGGCCTTCGATCGGGAGTAAAGGTTGCGAGTAACGAGGGTTTCCTTCGGAGTCAACGTCGGTATCATGGTCCTCCTCACCCTCGGAGTCGACGCCCGACTCGGCGCTCATGTCGGCCTCGATGCGACAGTGGTTGAGCTGATCACCTAGTTCATCCAGATCGGTGACAACGACACAGTAGTTACTGGGGAACCAGCCGCGCACGTTATCGATGACGCCATCCCACCATCCGGTCTCGAGCTGGTTGAGAACCTGAATCACATCCCCGCGACGGAAGCTCAGACTGGTATGGTCGTCTGCGTCGTAGTCGTACATGGCCCGCACGAACAGGGCCGGGGCGGGTTCCGGGCTGGACGAGTAGCCGCCGGCGGCGCCGTTGAGCATCATGGGCGATTCTTCACGTCCGAGAGGGCGAGTGGTGTCGGCCGAGGTGGACAATTGGGTACCGTCGGGGTACTCGAAGGTGGCCGTAAAGGCGCCGGTCTTGGTCGGCATTCCAGACCTCGAGTCGATTGCCAACGGCTCAACCATGCGGGATTCGAACATTGGGCAAGCCCAAGCGAGTGACGACGAACCAAACCCTTGTTCGTCTCCTGCTAGTCTGTGTCTGAATAGGCTAATGAGAAAGAAGGGGGAGGGGCGGGTGAGAGAGAGAGAGAGAGGAGGGGGGGGAGGTTTGGCAGACAGAGATCTTTCTCAAAGCAACACCGTTCTCATGGCCGACTCTGATGAAACAAACGAGCGAGCTTAGAAGAGAAAGGATGGAAGAGATGGTTGGAAGAGAATAAGAGACGGAGAGAGAAAAATCGAGAGAGAGAGAGAGAGAGAGAGCTGTCGTGGTAGTGGTGGTGGTGGTGGTGGGGGGGGGGGCAACGGGCGGGATCTCGCACAGATGGGAAGGCGGTTAGTGAGAGTGCACAGTCCCAGTGTGGCGAGCGAGCGATAATAATAGCAGTCAGAAGTAGAAAAAGTCGTAAGATCGAAGAAGAAGAAGAAAATAGAAGAAGAGTAATAAGAATAATGATAGAGGTCGGATCACTTAGACCATTGTGGAAGAGAGAGGAAGGAGGAGGAGGAGGAGGAGGAGGAGGAGGGAGGTACAGAGGAAGAGTAAGTCAATTGTACTCCGTAGAGGGAGACGGAGAGGACTAACGGAGTATGGAGAGAACAGGTACTAGTACAAGTAACAGTACAGTAACAGTAATAGTAACTGACTAGTTTAACTGGATGAACTTGAAGGGGCGCCGAGTGGAGCGGCTGGAATAGTCGGTAGCATAATTCATATGGTAGATATAATTTAACTGGATATCTTGGTTGAAATGTAGTATATGTAGTATATATATATATATATATATATATTGGTAAACCTGATAGCATTATACGGAGTACATACCTTAGGTAGGTAGGGGTAGTTCTTGTATATGGAGTTCGTAATACAACCACCACGCTGGGACACTCGGAGGTACCCACGAGATGGCGTGAGTGTCCACTTGCTTAAGGCTAGTATTCAGCACATGCCACGAATAACAGCAAAGGTTCCAGGCTTGTGCCCACCATAACTGTCTGACCATTCAAATGTCTGACTGCAAGTGTACATAGTAGGTAGTATGGAGTATAGATGCAAGACCATTCCAGTACTGCTTCCTGAGTACCAAGTTTAGACTTAAACCAGTAGTCTGTATTGTCATGGTATGTATATTACTATTTATTACAGTACAATACCTAATCATTACTACCTCCTAATCATACTAGGTATCTAGTTAACTACTAGGTAACTATCTAGTTAATAACTACTCAGGAAGTATCTGTTTCTGTACTGCTTGTTGAGCAACAGGACAACAGATCCTCCCCCTCCGAATGGCCGCCTCCAGTCCTTGTGATAGTGCCGACCGTGACGCAGTGCGCCGTCGCGCCTCTCTGCACCCGTTGATTTGTGCCGATCGCAGGTGTCAGAACGCCTCCGGAGTAGGGGGGGGGGGGGGGGGGGGGGGGGGGGGGGGGGGGGGGGGGGGGGGGGGAAGGCAGAGGAGGAGGTGATTGACCGATCTGGGCTCCGAGGTGACTACGTCCTACTCTACCATAGGTTCTGCTAGTTACAAAATAGGCACTAGGCCAGTTAACTTGGGTAGGTATTTGCGAATAATGAAGCCAATTAAAAGTCCATGGGCACCTGCTTGGTCCCAACTCAAACGGCAGGGCTGCTTTGTGGCGGCAATAGCCTCGGTGCATACCGAAGACAGAAGTTTTTTACTTCCTTGAACTTCTAGTAATACATGGTTAATATTAATAGTATATGATAGTCTCATAGGCTTCTATATAGTAATATGTAGCATATAGAGTATGTAGTTAACTGGCTAGTTATATAACTAGTAGTTATGTATGTCTGAGTAGTTACTTATTAATACTGCTGTCAATCTGCTGGACCTTACGAAGGAGCGTCAACCTGGAAATCAAGTCGTATTTCTATCCAATCAACCCTATGAATGATGTGATGAGAGCGTTGTAGTAGTAGTTAATACTTACTATGTAGTAAGACTATGTAGTACTGCTTCTGTTCTATATAGACAGCAGAATAATTGTAGGTACTACATAAGAGTAGGTACTAGGTAACTACCTAGTTTCATCCCTGGTATTACTCTGTACTGTATCAGTCATTACAAAGAGATAATCGCATCTCCTGACACAATAATATTAATACTAGTACATACCTACTACTAGGTACCTAGGAGGTAGTACATAGGTATTAATCCTCTGTATTATTATACATGGTCCTATATTACCATTCTAGAATCCTTCACGCCTTGGATTACAGAGTACGGGGTACGGAGTAGTACGTACTACATACGCTCCTCGAGGCGTGGACCCTCATTTCGCTTCTCGAACGCTTCTAGATGGTCTAGTAACGACCTTTGTTTAGCATACTCCTAGTAGTAGTATCGGAGGACTCCGACGTGCTCGGGAGCTCCTCGATGAACATGATAAGACCGGTTCCTCCTACGGAGTCCGAATTTCTCGACTCGAGAGAGAGGGGAGTTGATTCAGTGGCTTTTGTTGCTTGGATCGGCCGAGTGGCGAGTCCGAGTCAGGTTGCAGTCATCCATGTTGATAATTGTCCGGAGAAGGGAACCTTTTCCGAGCGTCGTCATATATCTTTTTTATCACAGGGCACCTAAGTACTATGTACTCATACTGTAGTATATAGATAATATATCTACCAGATAGCTACTCTGCAGATATTATTCAATATATATTAATGAAGAGGTGCAGCTAAGTAAGAGAGATATATATCAGTCTTGTTCAGAGCCGAGTCTTACAGAATACTATATTCTAGACATCACTATAATTATTCGGCTTGACATTCTTAAAGGATAATCTAACCAGGTTCTAGGAGTATACCGAGCAAGATTATCCCTAGATATACAGATAGCATACTACATAAGTGTACATACTACATACTACATATTCAGATATTGCCCACTCGAACCTGCACAGCCCCTGCATACGCAATAAACTCTATCAAGTATGACCATGTTTCGGAACCCCTCGATTGCGAGGGGTAGATAAATAATGTGTCCTGTCCATACTTCCAGCATCCTACCAATGGAATGCTGATCAATAATATCGATCCCGCAAGGTGAATACTCTAGTAACTAGTTACCTACTCCGTACTACATACTACTACTTTGTAAGGGGCTTCTTGGCTGAGAACCAAGTCTTGCAAGTTGCCACTGAAGAAGACTGGACGGGTCGGGAATTACCAAATAACTAGTTTCCAGTTGAGTTATGGGTCTGATTATGGATCATTGGATTCTACAATTATGGTCTTTCCCACCTGAATGGCGCACTAGCAACCGGAGTTGATCTTCCGGCATCCTGGAGGTTTGACCAGCCCGTCGGGTCGGCCTTGGGCTTACAGCATGTCTTGGATGGTGTTTAGCTTGACTGGGTCTGATGTTTTGACTTGTGCCTCTTCTGTCTCTTCTGTTGACGTGTTGTTCTTTTTTTTTTTTTTTTCTTTTTTCTTTTTTCTTTCCTTTTTTTGCCCCTCCCCCTTTTCACGCATAAATGTACAGAGTATACGGAGGAAGTACTCTGAGTACATTATAGTATACTCTGTACTATATATACTGTAGTCTGATAGCCTAGAGAATTCTATACTCTTAATCAAGTGAATCTTTTTTAACTATATAGTAGACAGATCTTCATTATCTATGAAAAAGCGGTCTGTCTGACACCGCCATTTGGTATCGGAGTATGCCAGGCACTCCGGCAGGTACCTTAGCAGACGGTGACGTAGCATCGCTTTAGCATTGAGTCGTGGCTTCCTGAGTAGTTACAGAGTAGACAAGTCATTCACATATGTAGTAACTATGTAGTATGTAGTATTCTGTACATACTCCGTAGATAACTCCATCGGCGGGTAGGAACCGTGGAACGAGACGGGTCGGTCCACACTGCGTATACTTAGTTACTACCTGGTAGGTACCTACCTAGGTAGTTATTCTACTTATCTTCTGTATTCCGTTTACTCTGTACACTCAAGTTAGTCTACTACAGAGTAAAGTACTCTGTAGGTACAGAGTAATTAGGTACTCCGTACGGAGGGTTGTACTCTCAATTCGGCCCAAGACTAGGCTAGGGCAAGTGGAACACACAAAACAAGCGAGAAACAAAATAAATAAATATTAAAACGCCCCCAAAATTAAATAAATGATCTAGACTGTGGTAGTTTATGCCATGTGCCTGCGGGAGGATCGATTATTCTTCCGATGCAACTAGCAGTAGTCTACATATTAGTAAGGAGAGCGGTCAATAGGTACGGAGAACGGAGTGATTAGGAGTATCTAAAGACTAGAGTACAGTCTACTCTAGAGCGACTCATGGTAAAGAAATATTGACTACAGGGTACATAAATACTTTTCTCTGGATTCACCGACTAGTTAACTCATGAGAGTCCATACTATTCCAGACCGTCGCTGGTCGACTAGTCGGGACGGGACAGAACGTCTGCAGATCTTAGTGTAAGGAGAATCATATCAACTAACTGCTTCTAGGTAAAGGGGACTACCCTAATAGAGTACTCCGTCGACAGTTGGATACGAAATACTTCCCGACTTATCTTCACCTACCCCGAGAATTCCGCCCGGAGGTCCTCCGTACGGAGTACCTGGAAGAACACATTCTGCAACGACAGGGACGGACCGCTGCAGGCCCGGCAAGTGGAGAGTCTACAGACTACTCTGTAACTACATACTATATAATACATATTTTGTAGTTGAAGATGATGGCGGTGAGAAGTATACCGCTTTTTCAATGTACTTAGTTGATTAAGATGCAGTGAATAGTAACTAACTAGTACATACCTAATCATGTCCACTGGAAAAAGAGTACCCTGATATATCTAAAGCACCGAGTACTCCATACTCCGTACTTGGATATTCAGTCTGGTTTAATCAGTACTTAACCAACTGGCTAGTTAACAGATAACTAGGTACTTACCTAGATACCTACCTAGGTAGTAGTAAGTACTACCTACTACAGACAGTTTCCCAAGTAACGGCCATGACGATGTGCCCCACTCATAGTCCATTCCGGGACTTTACGGAAAGTGGGTTCATGCTCCATAAGCCTGACAGTACAGAGTACTTGTACTGGGGTACCCTGTAACAAATTGTAGTACAGAATTTACCTAAAGTTACTTAGAAATTATGTAGTATTACTATTTGTTTTATTAAACAGAGTACCTATATACATAGGTACCTATCTACTATCTACTATCTACTATCTACTGTCTACCTAGAAATATCTGTAATTACTACTGATCCAAATAACGTACGACGCGTCGGTCGACGGGAGGCTGGGCTGGGCTGGGGCTGGGAACTACTAGTACACTAACTAGGTACCTACTCCGTAGCAGGCAGCCACACTGGAGGTCTGTAGGTACTAGACTAGGCCTGCTTCCAAGGTTAGCTCCTGTCCTGTCCTGGTGATGTCGCTGCACCCGTGGACCGACCGACAACTGGCCAGCTGATCATCTGGCATCTGATCAAGTTGTACTCCTAGTAACTAGTTACCTAGTTAGTTATGAAGTCATGTACCTAGAGTATAGGTTAGGTATCAACTATGAACTGTCCGAGGTAAGGCAGTATGCCAGGGTTAATGTACAATACTGGTGACTACAGAGGAGTCCTATACTCTGACTCCGTAAAGTCCTTCCTACTCTTTGAGTCTTCTCTGATCGCCGATTAATTTTATCTGCGGGCTAGCGGCCGGTCTCGAACGCGATGGCCAGCAATAGGATAAGGCTCAGATATCAATTAAAGATTGCATCATTAATCGTATTTATCCAATAGTACATAACTCACAGACTGACGAGTTACGGAGTACCTAGGTATGTAGTAGTTATGGAGCCCTCATACTTTATACATCCTAGATAAAAGGTTTCTGACTGATATCATTGAGAGGGGTACGGAGTACGGAGTACCACAGAGGGAGGGGATGGATCAGAGAGGGGTATGGTGGGCCGTACTTTTGCGTCAATGGACAAAGACGGAGTACCGGACCTATGTAGTAGTAGTAGTAGTAGTAGTAGTAGTAGTAGTAGTAGTAGTATGGAAAGTACTCTTTTGAATAATAGATGGAGAGTATAGACAACTATATAGAGTACTATTTAATGCTATAAAGTATGCACTTGGTCTCTGTATACATACTCCATAGTATCTGTTCTAGGAGTCCCAGGTACCTAGCATGGAAAAGGGGCGAGGGGTACGAAGACGAGGAGGGACAAGGACAGGACAGGTTGAGGGGGAGGGGTGTGACAGTAGTGGGCGAGCCCTAACGTCCTCACAACCGGTCCCCGCAGCCCACCAAAGTACATTTCCAAGATTGCGGTTTGGGGCTAACTAGCATCGCAGCGATCAACCTGTACGGAGTAGAGGGGTATAGAGGGTGATGGAATTCTTTACTTTATGAAGTACCAAGTATGATCTCATGATGGATTTCAAATAACCAGTTGTAGTCAGTATCTCGATGTATTATATATTTTTTTTATAAAGTTACTACATAGGATGAAGCAGGTCACCATTCAGGTACAGTCTGTAGTATGTACTATACTAACTATCACCCTGCATTTTCATATTATTTATTATTTATCATTTTCATATTTATTTATTTTTATTTATATTATTATTATTATTATTGTTATTATTTTCTATTTAAAATTCACGAACCGGAAGGATGGGATGTAGCTAAACCATGTGGGCTTTCTGACGCCCTCCCGAGTCGCCTGGATGGCCGGAGATTGCCCAGCTGGCCTCTTGGAACTCCAGGCTGGAGGGGCTTTTTCCTGACGTGGCATTAGCCCCGTCTAGTGCGTGCTTATACTCTGACCCGATCTGGGTCCTGCTGCTGCCCCTCCACGAATCCCGCCGCAGGGAACAACCCCCCCCCCTCCTCTTTGGCGGGCCCCTCTTTTCTCTGTTTGCCCAACCCTGCCAAACAAGACCGCCTCACTGTCGCGATCCCACGATCGCTTCTGCCCACGTCCTCGCGCGACTTAACACGCTATT